TGTTGGTTGTAGGTTCTTGCTATTCATCACTTTGAATATTTCTTGCCGCTCCCTTCTGGCCTGCATAATTTCTGTTGAGAAATCAGCTGACAGTTGTATGGGTACTCCCTTGTAGGTCACTGACTTTCTTTCTCTTGCTGCTTTTAAGGTTCTCTCTTTGTCTTTTGCCCTTGGCATTTTAATTATGATATGTCTTGGTGTGGTACTCTTTGGATTCCTTTTGTTTGGGGTTCTCTGCACTTCCTGGACTTGTAAGTCTATTTTTTTCACCAGGTAGGGGAAGTTTTCTGTCATCATTTCTTCAAATAGGTTTTCAATATCTTTCTCTCTATCTTCTTCTGGCCCCCCATAATTCGGATGTTGGTACGCTTGAAATTGTCCCAGAGGCTCCTTACACTATATTCATATTTTTGGGTTCTTTTTTCTTTTTTCTTTTCTGGTTGGGTGTTTTTTGCTTCTTCGTATTTCAAATCTTTGACTTGATTCTTGCGATCCTCTAGTCTGCTGTTAGGATTCTGTATAATATTCTTTATTTCAGTTGGTGTATGCTTAATTTCTAGTTGGTTCTTTTTCATATCCTTGAGGGTCTCACTAGATTTATGGAGGGTCTCACTAAGTTTATTGGCGGTTTCTAGAAAATTCTTGAAAAACCTTATAAGTGTGGTTTTGAACTCTATATCCTATAGTTTGCTTTCCTCCATTTCTGTCATTTGTGACCTGTTTCTTTGTCTCCACATTTTTTATGCTTCCTTGTGTTGATAGGGTGGCTTTCTGTGTCAGGTGTCTTATAGGGCCCAGTGGCTCAGCCTCCCCAATTACCTGAGGTGGACACTCTTGGTGCACCCCTTTGTGGGCTTTGTGCACAGTCTTGTTGTAGTTAAGCCTTGATTGTTGTAGGTATCACTGGGAGGAGTTGACCTTCAGGCCAATTGGCTGTGAGAATCAGCTGTGTCTGCTGTGGGAGAACTTCTGTGCTGGAGACACCCTTATGGGGCAAGACTTGCTTCAGTGGGGCTTTGGTGCTCACTGAGTCTGCCCCCTGAGTGTGTCCCTTATGGATCTGAGGAGTTGTAATCTGCATGGTCCCACTCTGACCACTGGGTACACTGGCTCTTGGATCTCTGAGGAGGTGCTAATTTAGCCTCTGCCTGAGGCTACCCAGCAGGAGCTATGAAGAGATTCCTCTTCTTTGTTTAGGGTTTGGAGGTGCCCATATGAGGCCCAGCTGTGAAGCAAAGAAAGCTGATGTGGGGCCTTGGGCCTTTTTTTTGGAAGTTCTGGGTCTCTTTGACCCAGCTGCAACTTGTTAGGTAATTTTCAGATTGCAAAGGGCCAGGCCTTTCATATGCAAAAGCCTCTGTGCACAGCTTGGGTGGGGCGGGGTCTCAGGGGATCAACAGGGCGGAGCAAGCAGCTATGGCTGCTCCCCAGTCCTACCCTAAGAGGCCCTGCATCTCAGCGTCCCAGTAATCGCTGCAAGCACCTCTGAGAGAAAGCTGCCCTCGAATTCTGCCCGATGCCAGACAGTCCAGTTTCTCCCCGTATGAGTCTGGGTCCCCAGAGACTCACCTGGAACTGGAGTTCAGAGCAGTCGGGAGCTTGAGACTCCCTCCCAATTGAAAGACAACCATGTCCTCAGCTTCCAGCCCTTTCGGCGTGCGCCTCTGTACCTCTGCATTTTACTTCCGCACCTCCTCTGAGTCTCAGTGTGCTTTTCTCTTTCCTTCTAGTTGTAGAATTTCCACTAAGCCAGCCTTCCTGTGGTTCTGGATGATGTCCGTTTTGTCTTTTAGTTGTGTTTTTGAAGTGGTTGTTCGAGACAGCAATTTCCAGTGTTTACCTATGCTGCCATCTTGGTTTCCCTCATTAATTTTTTTAAACCACTTGTATTAATTTGCTAGGGCTACCATAACTAAGTACCATTGACTGAGTGGCTGAAGCTACAGAAATTTTTCTGTCAGTTCTGGAGGCTGGAATTCTAAAATAGATGTTAGCAGGGTTAGTTCCTTCTAAGGACTGTGAGTAAAAGATCTGTCCAAGGAGTCTCTCTTTGACTTATGAATGACCGTCCTTATGTTCACCTGGTGAAATCCCTATATTCATGTCTTTGCCCAAATTTCTCTGGTTTAGAAGGGCACCAAATCACAATGGATTAGAAGCCCATCCTATGGCCTTATGTTAACTAATTACAAATGCAAGAACCCCACTTCCAAATAGAGTCACATTCTGAGGTTCTGGAGGTTAGAATTTCAATATATGAGACACAATTCAACTCATAACACCAGCTTTTATTTTGTTTTATCTGACTCCTCTCCCATGAGAAATGTACTGAATAAATGACAAACTCTGAAGAGGTCTGCTAATTTTGCTGTGTCATTGTTAAAATGTGCTACTGGCATTACATGTATACTTAAATTTACACAAGAACTATGTTCTTTAAAAGTTGGGCTAATCAAAGTTTTGCTAATTTATGTTTTTAAAAGGCATATAAGAATATGCCAAATAAAGTAGTGCTTTGAAAAATCCTTATGTAAACTTTAGAATCTTTCTATTAAAAATAATTATTCTCTTGTACTGATCTTGAAACTTCAATTCAGATTTTCTTGAAAGCAGGGCATTTTTAAACTAGAAATTATTCTATGGTGAAGACAAATTCTGAACAGATATGAGGAAAAATTTTGGACCTCTAGGCAAATCCATGATAATGAACTACAGAACAAAAGAGAAGTTTTACCAGAAAGTATAATTATGTATACCAAAGTTTAAGCTTCAAAAATTTAGACTAAATAAATAAAGAAAACTCTAAACCTTATATTTGAGATGATGGTGCTGGTCCAAATTCCAAATTAATTCAAAATATATTATATTAGAGTTCACAACGTGTTAGAGGCTTTGATTTATATATAAAGACATAGACCTTGTCTTCAAAGAGCTCATAGTCAAGTTATAAAGATGTGTAAATAAATAGCTCTGATAAAAGTCAGCCTGTATTAGGAGTAACCATGGACTCAAGATGTTTCTAATTTTAAAATATTGTCCCAAAATTCCTGTATTTTCACATTAAATTTATATGTCCTGATTCTTCCTTCCTCTCTCCCTCCTTCTTTTCCCTCCTTCCTTCCTTTCTTCCTTCCTTCTTTCCTCCTTCCCTCTCTCCTTTTATTCTTTCACTATAGTCATTTTTTCATATTATAAATACTAGTTCTATATTTGTTATATACATTGAAGTTTCCCAAATTGTCTTTTGATTTTTTCAAGATTTTTTTTTAAAACCTGAGTTTGTACTAATACTTCTCTATGGGTTTGTATTCTCTAAGCATCAATTTCTCTATATCATAATGGAGATAATTATAGTATTTCTCACAGAGCAGCACATTTTCAAAAGAGCTCATGTGCTTATAATAATATCTGGCATAAATATTAGGTGATCTCCCCTCTTCTGATTATTAGAGATCTTCTGTTTTTATTCCTAAGCATTTTCTATTTTTCTGGCTATTACAAACTATAGCTGCTTTGGAAATATTTTGATAATGAGAGTGTTTGGAATGGAGGGAATGTTATTTTACTGTCATATTGTCATGATTTCGTATAACTGAAAATATTCAAAAAAGTTAAATTGTTATTTCTAGATGCCTTTCATATTGCATGAACAATTTGCCACATGCTGTTCCTTCTGCTTATTTTCACTAATCAAACAAGAATTTATTACATAACCAACTTCCACAGATTACTAAACAAAGGAACACCATTCTTCAGTGTTTTTCAAACACATTAGAGGAAGTCATCTGATAAATTGTGTTTGATTATAGGCATGTGAAGTGAAGAGGATGAGAATCACAGCAACATTTTGTAGTTGTTCCAAATTACCAAATGTATTTTGATCTTAGCTTTTCCATGACATGTAACCAGATTATGTAATTGTAAATCCTTAAAAACATTTTTAGCTATGATAATAATACAATTAAACAACAATAACAACAAAAATACGGCAATTTCCTTGGCCAGGATACATTGACTGAAAGGAATTCAATGGTTCTAATAGATTTAGGTAGATAGGCAAATATAAATGATTGCTGAATGTTGTAAATGTAAATACAGTAGTCCCTCTTACCCCTGGGGGATATGCTCCAAGACCTCCAGTGAATACCTGAAACCACAGAGGATACCAAACCCTATACATACTATTTTTTCCTATACATACCTATGACAAAATTTAATTTGTAAATTAGGTACAGTAAAAATGAACAATAATAAAATAGAACAATTATAATATACTGTAATAAAAATTAATGTGAATGTGGTCTCTCTTTCTCTCTTAATTATCATATTGTACTGTACTCGCCCTTCTTCTGATGATGATGATGTGACATGATACAATGCCTACATGATGACATGAAGTGAAGTGAATGGTGTAGATCTTTTTGGACCAGGATTGACTGGGGGTAACCAAAACTGCAAAAAGTGAAACCACAAGTAAGAGGGGACAGCTATGTATCAGCTGCAGAATTGGTAATATGCAGTTTTGAGGATGTGTATACATAAATTATAACAGTAAAATAAAATAGAGAACTAAAGCCATTTAATTTATTTTTTAAAATATTTTCTTGATTTTTAGAGAGAGAGGGAGAAAGGGAGAGAGAGAAACATAGATTGGCTGCTTCCTGCACACTGCCTACTAGGATGGAGCCCGCAACCTGGGCATGTGTCATGTCTGGGAATCGAACCAGTGACCTCTTGGTTCATGGGTTGAAGCTCAACCACTGAACCACTCCAGCTGGGCAAAATAAAGCCTTTATTTTTTACAAAGCCCACACCTCTCTCTCCATTTGCTTACATTATCTGACCCCTTCTTCACTTCCCATTACATATATCAACATTTAGAAACATAATAATATACATGGATATTTGTTGATTATATATGTTGGACCATAACAAACTCCTTTGTTCGTTTCTGATAAATACAGTCCAAGGAAAATAACCATTTAACTTCTCTCTTTCAGGAGCTTCTGGGACATGCTTGGAAGAATTATACTGCCATTCTTTTCACCCATGCAGAAAAAATAGAAGAGGCTGGGTTCAATGAAGCTGAATATTTACACGAGGCCTCTGATACATTGCTGACCCTACTAAACTCTGTTCAGCACAGATATATTTTCCAGCATAAAAAAGGAACCTCGCTTAATGAACAAAGAATAAAAGTCTTAGAAAAAATAATGGAATTTATAAGAGAAAATAGCTACCAAGTTCTTACCTTTAAATAACATTTAGATAAAAGGAAAAGAACATTGGGTTTTAATACCAGAAACTTGGTTTCAAAAGGGTCTTTGTTAGAAAGGATGTGGACCATGAGAATGCCAATATCCTGACAGTGAAAGTGTACACTGGTATACACACTATGGAAATTACCCAAATGTTCATCAACAGTAGCATGGATAAGCAAATACTGGTATTTCACACAATAACATGTTATATGGTAATGGGAATGAATGAACTGCATGTAACAGTATCAATGAATTGCCTAAACATAATGCTGAAAGCAAGAAGCCAAACAAACTCCATAAGTGTTGTCACAAACTTGATTTTCAATATTTGAGTACCTTTTTCATATATTCTTGTCTTTGATTGGTGTTTTCATCTTACACACCTATTGCTAATAACAATTTGATCAATGTAAAGTCATATCTTACTGTTACCTTAATGTCCATTTCCCAGACTACTACTGAATTGAAGTATTTTTTTATAAGCATGTTGGTCATTAGATTTGCTCTTCTATGAATTGCCTCTTCATATTTATTGTACTTTTTCTATTGGATTACTTCTCACAAAGATTCTGTGTTTAACCAAAACTTTAGAAAGGCTCCTGAAACTTCTCCAGGCCCATCTGTGCCTTGTAAAATCTAGTTTTAGCAAGAACCAGGCTGCTTAAACTAAGTCAGTTTAACAAGAATCCTCTACCTTCTTTTTGGGATTGGATTTCTCATCCTCTATTATCCCCCTGGTGATGTTGGATCACCCTTGCTTGTCTGCAGCAAAGATCCTATTAGGTTGATGTGGCCAGATTCCCCTGACCCTTGGTGCTTCCTCTTGGTAACTGTCCATCCACAGATCCCCACCCCTGCTACTTGGCTATAAATTCCCACTTCCCATACTGGGCCCAATCTCTCTCCCCACTGTAAAATCCCATTGTGGTTCCTATATCTATCTTGGTATTACCATCAGGTCTGCCTTACCAACTTTAACAGTGCCACTGAATATATTTTTCTTGAACACCTCTTGCTTGGCAAATTGGAAGAGCTCTATCTAATCTAATAAAAGACAAACATGCAAATTGACCGTACCTTCACTATGTCTTAAGTGACGCCCACCAGCCAATCAGAGCGACTATATGCAAATTAACCCAACCAAGATGATGACCAGCAGCCACGGAGCTGGAGTGAGCAGGAGGCTTGGTTGCTCCAGTGATGGAGGAAGCCAAGCTTCCCGCATGGCGTGGCCAGCTCTGAGCTCCACTGAAGGCAACAAAGTTTCAATTATAGAAGATAAATAAACCCCAGATACCTGCTTTCAGCCGGTTGTGGCCACGGAACTGGAGCGAGCAGGAAGCCAAGCTTCCCGACTGCCATGGCTGGCTCTGAGCTCCACTGAAGGCAATAAAGTTTCAATTATAGAAGGTAAATAAATAAGAGAATTAAAAAATAAATAAATAAAGGAGAGGCTGGGAGCTTTCGTCACTGGGTGGCTTGGGCAGCCTGAAAACAGCTATCAGCCCCTCACCCAGGCTGGCCAGGCACCCAAGCGTGACCCCCCCCACCCTGATCCGGGACACCCTTCAGGGAAAACTAGCCAGCCACCACCCGTGCACCAGGCCTCTATCCTATATAATAAAAGGGTAATATGTAAACTGACCCTAACAGCAGAAAGACTGGGAATGACTGGTCACTATGACACACACTGACCACTAGGGGGCAGACGCTCAATGCAGGAGCTGCCCCCTGGTGGTCAGTGCGCTCCCACAGGGGGAGCTCTGCTCAGCCACAAGCCAGGCTGATGGCTGCCAGCACAGCAGTGGTGGTGGGAGCCTCTCCTGCCTCCGCAGCAGCGCTAAGGATGTCCGACTGCAGCTTAGGCCTGCTCCCCACTGGCAAGTGGACTTCCCCCGAGGGCTACCGGGCTGCCAGAGGGATGTCTGATTGCCATCTTAGGTCCAATCCCCCGGGGAGCGGGCCTAAGCCAGCAGGTGATCATCCCCTGAGGGGTCCCAGGCTGCGAGAGGGCACAGGCTGGGCTGACGGACCCCCCCCCCCCCCCGCCCAGTGCACAAATTTTTGAGCACCAGCCTCTAATATTATAGATAATAGTCCTCTATCTGCCCTTCATGATGCATTTTTTTCAATTCTATTACTTATCCTTTAACTTCGTTTATAGTAACTTGTGTCAAATTAAATTTGTAAATTTTCATCTAGTCATATATTTCTATGTACATGATATGAGGTAGGATTTTAGTTTCATTTCCCTTCAGATATGTAATCAATTATATTTGCTTTACTTATTAAATAATCCATCCTTTTCCTACTTATAAAAGGTAGTCTGAAATAGGCACATGGAGATATATATCCTTTATTTCTGATATATTATGGATTCTTAATTATTTGCCATTATCAATTTTATCTATAGTACTGTCAATATCAGAATAATTAAAATAATTGTATATCAATGCTTGATATCTAAAAGACCAAGTTTCCCTTGTTTTTATTTTTTGAAAATATTTTCTGGCTACTCTTAGGCATTCATTTATATTTTCAGATCTTTTTTCCTAATTTCAAAAAAAAAAATCTGTTTTTGTGGCTGTTTTTATGACAAATGACGTTTTGTGATATTAAATGCCCCCTTGCAAACATACAGGATATTTCTCCATTTTAGTTTATTATTTATTTTATGTTACTATAATTCTTGCATTTCTTTTTCTTAGTTTTGACTTGATAAAGTTTCTATTATTTTCATTTTTCTTCTTGATAATTTGGACGTTCTCATACCCATTAAAGATTATTCCCTTGCTCCTGAATTCAGAACCAAGAATATACTTCTCTACTACTATTTGATAACAAGGTAACTACTATTTCTTTAACCAAGAACTTTCATTCCCCACTGCATCATCCATTAACTATGAAAATATGATCCTTAGAACACTTTCATCTCAATTTTTCTCCTTCCCCTGTCCCCCCTAGGGAAGAAGTCTTTGGAATGCTTTTCCTTTCCCCATATTACCAGATTTTGCTAAGATATTTAATTAAATTATTTGACTTCCCCTTACAGATTGCCCCTTCTGTTTCAAAAGTCCTCTCTTTTACCATTTACATGGTAGTTTATCATTAGCTCTTTTACCTTAATATATAAAATTAGAAAGTCCATTCCTCAATAGTTTTCTCTTCATCTCCCCCATCTTTTGTTATCTTTTTGGTTAATGTATTTTCCTAATATCCTCTGAATTCAAGTATAGTAAAATTCTAGTACAGTATCCAAAACTTATTAAATTTCAGATATGCTCTTTGATGCACCATTATGCAACAGCAATCTAGCTCCTCAAAGTAATCAGCATCATGGATGCAGGGAAATAATTTGTTAGTTGGTAATGGAATAGTTGAATCATAAGAACAGTGATGCAATGACATGAACATCTGTGCTGTGCTCCACCTGAAGCTGTTGTCAGCTTTTGCTGAACAACAGTGTATCCATTTAATAAATTCACTACTATTGGAGATAATTACAACTTGCAACAAAAGACCCATGTGACCAGAACCAGCTCTAGGTAAAAATAAATGTCCAGGAAGTTCATCTTTGGTATCCTGCCTTCAGAGTCTACAATTTGCAATCTTTCCTCCAGATGTCCAATCTGTATGCTGTTCTTAACTAGAAGACAAAAAAAATCTCTACTAAATTTTATATTTGACTTTGAGTGGTAGGCACACAATGCAATGTCCAGATCAAGTATCAAGTATAGAAATGTATACTTGAAACCAATATAATCTTATTAACCAATGTCACCCGATAAATTTAATAAAAAGAAAATAAAAACATTGAAAAACCAACTAACAAACAAACAAATTTTATATTTGAAAGTGTTTTGAATATTTTAGAGAACTAGAAGACAGCACATGATATTTTTGTGCAGCTGGGGTTAGAGTCTCATTAAGTATATATCATCTTAGGGCATTATTAACTCACTCCTAATACTTACCAGGTCTGATCCTTACCTCAATTAGCAATCTCAGATTTTCTTTTTTTCTTTTTAGTTATGTTTATCTACACTCTGCCTTATTTAAACAGAGAATTTTCTTAGATTTTTCTGTTCTATTGATTTTCAGAAATATCAAAGTTATTTTACAAATGACTGTTATTTAATGTTAATACTGGTATTGCTAATTCTTAGACTTTTTTAAAAAAAATTTTTTAAGAGAAAGTTATCCTTTCACATGAAAAATTAAGGTTTTTAAAAAGTTACTCCTATCAAAATCACTCTCTTTAGCTAAAGTTATCACAAGTGACTTTTAGTTTGCATTTTTCATTAATCTTTTTCAAAGAGAAATCAAATTGTGGTGTTGATTCTGGATGATTCATGCACCATTCTTTCCAAATTCCCCAGGTGTGAAAAGTTGAGTGGTGTTTTAAATTAACAAGTATCAGCCAAATATGTAATCTTAGACCTGAAAAGTTAAGTGGTTGCATATATTGAGAGCATTTCTCTACTAGGATATATAATATTCTAATGAAGCAATTTACAAAAGCAAATGTAAAACTTTGTCAGAGCAGCCTTGATATGAAGGGTCAGCACATAAACTCCACAGTAGAAATGAGATTTAGGAATTTCTATTTGAACAATTCCATAGGCATCATGTAACAGTGGGAAAGGCAAGAAAAGTAGCCCCTTCATTAGAAAAGATTTTTCTTTTTTCTTGCAAGTATTAAGTCCCTGGCTTGTTTCTGCTGCTGTTAGCATTTTAGCCTGCCAGATAGGAAATGATGTTAATGAAGACATAAAATAACACACACATATTTTACTCAAAATCCAGAGAATTGGGTATAGTGTGTGTTAGAAGAGGGGTGGGAATATGGCACAAGGGAAAAAACAAGGGAATACATAAGGGTTAAAAAAATACAATATACAGTAATTCACACTCTGAAAATTGCATATGGCTTACTTTCAAACTAACAATTATTTCATTGTTCAAGGTCCTTTCTCCCAATTTTCGAAGTTATACTCCTATGAATTATCTTGCTAACATTTATCTGAAGGAAAAACCATAACTGTAAAAAGTGCAATAAGCAAGAATGTATAAGTCACTAACTCTTTTCCATACCAACAAATTGGTATTTGAAGATCCAGTTTTGTAGAGGCATACTAGCCATCAGTAACCACAGACAGTCCTTGGGTTACATCGGTCTCAACGTACATCGTTTCGTGGTTATGTCCCCAGCTCCCATTTATTTATTAAAAAAAAAAAAAAAAGTTCCGTCATTTTGATGTATGTACATATGTGCTTTATGTTTTTTATTATTTATTTACCACAAGTAAGGGTCAGGAATTGATATCTTTTACATTTTTTTTTTCACTTCATTACTGCTGTGTATGTGCTCCATGTGTGTGACGGAGGTGCTTATGTAGGTGGGTTCCAACTTACAGCGAAAATCACATTATGTCGCGCCACAGGAACGGATCTCTGACGTAACCCAAGGACCTACTGTATCCTTCTTTTCATTATTATTACAAACTAGAGGCCTGGTACATGAATTCATGCAAAGGTGGAGTTCCTAGGCCTCGCTGGTGATCAGGGCCAATCAGGGCTGGGTCAATTGGGTGGAGGGCCAATTGGGGCCTGCTGGCCAGGGGGACAGGGTGTGGGAGGTTAGCCACCAGCCCCAAAAAGGAAGCCAGCCCTTGGCCCCCCTGGGAAAGGGGCTGCGTCCACCACCACCCACCTCTGGTTCCCAGTCCCACCTCAGGGCCCGAAGGCCCCAGTGGGGTCAGGAGAGGAGGTGATAGTTGGTGGGCCCGGCACAGAAGGAATGGACGCTGGACACCGATGCCACCAGCTGGCTGCAGGGTGTTGGCTGTGGGAGCATACTGACCACCAGGGGGCAGTTCCTGCATTGAGCATCTGCCACCTGGTGGTCAGTGTGCTCATAGCGACTGGTCAACCAGACATTCTGGTCGTTTGGTCCTAATAGTCACTTAGGCTTTTATATATATACTAGAGGCCCGGTGCACAAAAATTTGTGCACTGGGGGGAGGGGGGGGTCCGTCAGCACAGCCTGTGCCCTCTCGCAGTCTGGGACCCCTTAGGGGATGACCACCTGCTGGCTTAGGCCCACTCCCCGGGGGATTGGGCTTAAGATGGCAA